TTTCGTTGCTATAACGCGGATTTTTTTGCATTTAGCGTTCCATTCGATTTTAAGCCATTTTTTTCCTTTTTTTTTTTGCTTTCGGTTTGTTAATTTTTGTGCTTTAGCATTAGCTTTTATCCTGGTTGCTTTTTAAGTAATTGCCGGGGCGGGGCCGGGTTTAAATCCAAAAGGTTTTAACGGGTTCCATTTTTGCGCTTACCGGTCCTTGCTTGCCAGGTTAAATGGGTATGGTACTTTTATTTTTTTACGATATTTTAGTTATTAAAAATACTATTGCACCTTATTGGTACCGGTTCGAATTACGTTTTTTATTCCAAATTGTTCCCATTTTTTTTTTGCTTTTAATACTTTTTCGTTTAAATACAAATTAATTGGGGGAATAAAACATTTAATTTCGAAATTAGCTAGCGAAATGGCTTTGTAAACCCCGGCAATGGTTTTTAAATACGCGCGTTATTTTTTTAAAAATTGTTTGGCGGCGCTTTTAAAGCGGCCCGTTGCCGGTATGGCTATATGGAAGGTTATCGCGCCGTATGCTAAAGCCGTACGGTACATTACGTTATAAAAAAGCCTTTTTTTCGCAAACGTATTGCTTTACGTTAACGAAATAAATTAAATAAATATTAGCTATTGTTTTTTTTGCTTGCTTTTTGCTTTTTTTGTATATTTTTTAAAATTAAAACGGGCGTTTAGCTAAATCCCGAAAAACCTAGCCGTTTGGTTAAAAATTACCGTTATATTGCTAAATTAAACCACGGGCAAATTTTCGTTTTTATTAAAATGGATTAATTTGGTTTTAGTATTATTAAATTTTAAACAAAAAAACGTTTTTTGCTTGCGCGCGACAACGACAACGACATACAAAAAAGTTAAAGCCATTACGAAAACCGGAAACGCTAATTTGCTTAAGGGCTAAGCGAATTCGATAATACCCCGAAGCGCCGTTGCGGCGTTAATGGAAAAGGCCATTGGCTTTAACCAATTAAAGCACGCAATACGCGACGGGAATTACCCGAACCAATAACAATTACGATAAAAACCAACCGCAAGCCCGAAAAAAACCCAATTAATTATTGCAACGATGCAATTCGCAAAAAAATACCTTTAATTGCTTAATAAAAAAAAAAAAATTACGGCCGCCGAAATTATTGCGGAATTTGTTCGATACGTTAAAACGACCAACCAAACGACCGCAATTTTAACGATTTTAGCAATTAACCCTAACGCAACCTAAACGATTTTCCAATTTTTCGAACGAATTAAAATTATATTAAAAAAAAAGGATTAAACGCAACAAGTTGCGGCCGCGAACGGAAAAGGTAAAAAACAAATTTGGGCCCAAATAACCGCAAAAGCGCAAACCGCTTCCAAAGCACCCCAAACGATAAAAACCAAAAAGGCAATAGCATTTACAATTAATAATAAATTTTTTATTGTTACCGGAAATAAAAAAATTAAAAAAATAAAACCCAAAAAAATTAAGCGGATTTGCAATAAGGAATTGGGTAAAGGCTAAATTAAAGCGGTTTATTAGTATCCGTTGGAAAACGTTCGTTTGCATTTCCGAAATGCTAGCACCCGTTAACGAGCGAAAAAAAAATGCCGGCCCGGGCCGGGAACGAACGATATAAATAAAAATATAAAAAAGGTTGCGGATAGCTACGGCAACCCCGCCGCAACGAACCGGTTACAAACGTAATACGCGCCTTTTGCGGTTTAAAATACAACCGGATAAACGGACGGCCTAAAAGTTACCAAACCAACGATAACTTTAATAATAACGGGCTTACTAGCCAATAAATTCCGACCTTTTTTTAACGATAAAAATAAAGCGGAATATTAGTTAAAGCTAATAAAAGCATTTAGCGCTAAAAACCCGCATAAAAACATCGAACGGGTTACCGTTTCGTTATAAAAAAAAAAGGTAGCAAAAAAAAAGTAACGGCGTTATTCCAAGTTGCAAATTTAAAAAGCGCAATAAATTTGCAAAAGGATTATTTCCGATGGAATAGGTTGGCATACCAATGCCAACCTTTTAATTTTAAATTAATTACGGCGTAATGCTACCGTTATTTAAATTAAAAACATAAAAGCATGCAATGCAAGCAAATTACGGCGTATGCGTGGTATGGATTAAAAAAATACAACGATAAACGGTATAAAAAAAAAAGGAAATAGCAAAAAAGTTACCGAAAAATATGTTCGGGGCATTTTGTATTTCGTACAACAAAGCTAAACACCCATTTTACTTTTTACATTGCCCGGTGCAAAAGCAAATTTAATAACGCAAAAAAAAGCCTGGTTTACAAAGCTTACCCATTACGAAATCCCAATAACTTTTACTTTAAAATCGTTGCAAACCGAATCGCCGCCGGAAGCGGGGCGGGCAAAATTCCCCCTTTTACCCCGGGAAAAAGCAGCTTTTATACGGGAGCAAAAAGGAACCAATTAAACAAAAAAAAGCAATAGCCCTTTTGCAACGATTTCTTTTTAAATACCAATAACAATTCGAAATACAACCCCGCCGACCGAAAAAACCTTTATACGTAACGAAATCGATGCAAAATTAAAATTACCTTCCTTTTAACCAATTTTACCTACAAAACGAAAAAGAAATTCCTTAAAATCGGCCGAACGATTTGTAAAAAAGCTTAAAAAATTTTATACGGTAAAACGAAAAAACGCAATTATTACGCTATTTATAAAAAACTAAAGCTTACGCATTCCAAAGCTTTTTCCCCCCCGCACCCCCCCCCGCGAACCCCCCCGACGAAACCCATTTCCCCGGCGATACCCGCGTCCCCTTTACCGCTACGGGAGGTAATAAAAAAGGCCAGCCAAAAAAGCCTTACCCTTTTCCAATTATTTAATAACATACAATCCTTTAGCACTTAGTTATACAAAAAGAAAGCGTTAACGTTACCGCCCCCCCCCAAAAGCAAAAAAGGACCTTTTTAACGAAAAAACCAATGCTTAAGGTTTTTAAATGGAACGTAACGAAAAAACCGGAGGTATTTAACGCATTATTGGCAAAAAAAAGCAATTTCAACGTATTGGCGATATAAAAGCTACCAAAAAATTTGAAAAGGAACGCTAAATTCCCGTTGTAAGCCGGAAAAAAGCTAATCCAATATATATACGACTTTACCCCGCAGCGATTATACGGCAACCTACCGGAATCCCCTTAAAACCGCCAAAAAAAAGGCAACGCGCTTTCCTTTTTTTTACCATTATAACTTGCTCCCCCCTTTTTCCCCATTACCAAAGCAATTATTTATATTAAATTAACGCTACGTATTTTAAATTATAAAGCAAAACCGGATTGGTACAAAGTTACGATCGGCATTTAAAACGAAAATATAACGATTTGGTCGGTTTATTCCCCGTTTTCGGAAAGCATAACCATTATAAATTAAATAATATTTATTAACGAATTTGCCGGAAAAAAACCGAAAAGCAATAATTTAATAGTAAAGGATTTTAACCTTTATTATAAAGCATAAATGTCGAAACGTTTAAAAAACGCACCGATGCACGCGGGGGCTTTTAAATTGGTTGGTTTAGCAAAATTATAAAGCATACAATTAATAATTCGCCGAAACGCGGCAACAAAGTCCGCTTTTTATTGCAAAAACATTATTATCGATTTAGCTTGGGTTACCGGAAAGTTAAGGATTTAATAACCGTTAAAATAGCGTTAAAGTAGCAACAATTATACGGGAATGGTAATTACGATTTTAAAAACCATTTCGAACCTTTACGTACCAATTTTAAAAGGTTAAAATTAGAAAAAAATCGATGGAAAATTCGCTAAATTTTTAACGAATAATAGGATTTCCTTTTTGCTACAACCATTTATTAATTTTTAAACGATTAACGAAAAAATAAACGATATTACAAAAGCAATATTGGAAATTCGCAACCTAACCGTACCGGAGCTAAAAGGAAAAGCCGGAAATTGTAGCTAATGGACGGAAATTTTTTTTTAATTATTTCGCAACAAGTACCGGGCCGAATTAACGTAAAAAGCAAATGTTAAGGGTTAATCGGTGCAAAAGCGGGTAGTTACCGGGTTACGGGCTGGATGCGGTGTTTCTTTTGTTAAATTTCCGTAAATTTCTTACCAAAAGTGCTATCGCCAACAAAAATTGTTCCTTTTTTAACCTCCTTTTTTTTCGTGCCCTTTCGGGCACCCGGGGTTAATTTTTTAAATTTTTTGCGCTTTAAGCGCTTTCGTGCAATTTAAGCTTTATTTTATTTTTTAATTTTGCTATTATGCTTTGGCCGCGATACCGGTAGCTTGCCGGCATGTCCCCGGGGGGTTCGTGCCCGGCTGGTTGCTAGCGCCCCCTTTTTCCTTTTTTGCCGGGCGGTTTCGCCCGTGCATTTAACGCTTCCCGCTTTTTGCCGGGCGGTTTTGCCCGTGCTTTTAATATATTGCCCTTTTTCGATACGGTTTATTTTAAGCCGCTTGTGCCGCGCGTGCAACCCCGTAGGTAATCGGTAGCTTATAATATCCCGCTAAACCGCTTTAATGCCCGGCAATGCTTGGGGAAACCGGTTATAAAGCTTTGTAGCATCCGGAAAAATGGGTTCGTACCGGCATATAAAAGGCTTTTTTTCCCATTCGAAGTTACGAACCCTTTTTTTTTCCTTTTTGTGCATTTAATAACCATTTTAACAATTTTAACGATTGTAACCGTAAATAATCGGTATTTAGCCGTTCCTTTTAAATACTTAAACTTAACCGGTAATTATAAATGTTATCCTTTGTACTTAATTACGTAAGGAAAATGGTGTTTTTTCGGGTGTCCGTTTCGGGTTTTTCGGTTTTAACCAGCCCGTTAGCCCTTTTTGGCGACCCCCCGGTATCCTTTTTAGCTATCGTAATTTAATTGGATTCGGATTCGGTTTCGCCGGAATTTTTAATTTTTTAAATCTTTAACGATTGCTTTACCGGTAACCTTCCGGTAAACCTTTTAAATGTTACGGGTTTATTAAGCCCTTTTGCGCTTGCAACCTTTTAAAATTCCCGCAAACGTTTTGCCGATAACCCCCCGGCGGGCTTTAACCGCTGCGGCAAAAAGATTTCCGCCGAAAAAAAGCGTAAAACGCGCAACAAATGCCGCCGCAACGCTTTCGATTTTAATAAACCTGCCCCTAAAACGAACATTGCTTCTTTTTCGTTTTATATAAATATTTGCAACGCGCTCCCGTTGCGGGAAATTATCGATTTCCAATAAAATAATAATTGGAATTTTATTTGTTTGCCCTTTTTTAAGGATAATTATACGGAACGTACGGTATTTTGTAGCCGCTATTTTAATTGTTAAGCATATTAAAACTATGCCGTTAACCCTTGTATGCCGATATGCTTTAATAATTGTACGGGGTCCTCCAAATATATTTATTGCAAAAACGTGGTTGGTAACAAAATTTGCGTTAAGCTTTTGAAATGGTTTTGGAAAATGGCCCAAAACCTTTACAAAATTTTAAATACCGTTTACAAGCAATTGCCCGAAACGATACCGGAGCTTTTCGAAAAGCTTACCAAAGCCCAATTTTGCGCCCGCAAAGCTATTTAAAAAGCCAAATCCTTTTATACCATATTGGCCGAACAATTTGCGCGTTACAAACGTTAAACCGTTATCCAAAAACGCATTTAGCGCAAAATTGCTAGCGCTGCGATATTGGAAGCTATTTAAAACATTTTTTAATAATTTTACGCTATCGCCGTTTAAACAAAAAAGTAAGCTTAAATTTTGGCTAGCATCGGTAATTCCTTTAACGAAATAAAGGCGTTTTTTAAACGTTTCGAAAAAAGTGTAGTTATTTTTTTTAATGGTATTGCCGTTAGCTTTATTACGATTGCGGCGCATTCGAATATTTAAATTTACAATCGCGCGGTTTTTCGTAAAAGTACGGCGTTCGTATTGGCGCCGGGAAGTGCTGCTTTTGGCGCCGACGATTTTAGCGGCAACAATTGTAACGCTAGCGAAAAGGACGTAATTTCCGAAAGTTTTGGTTTTTTTAAATACGGCATTTAATCGATTTTTTTTATATATTTTTTTAATTAATTATTGGTATTCCTTTTTTAAAGGGTGGTTAATTTTAAATTTTTTTCGTTAATTTGTTACAATTAAAATTATAATTTCCTTTCGTTATGCTATTTTTATAGCATTGCGAAATTCCAATATTTTTAATTATTAATTAGGTTTTAATGCTTTAATAAATAATTTTAAAATGCTTTTTTTTCGCCCCCCAATGGGTTTAAATACCGCCGATATGCATTTGCCGTTACCCGAACGTTTAAGCCCGTTCGCCGTACCATTTAAAGGTTTTTTACTTTTTTTTCGGGCAAGCAATAATATTTTTTACTATAACGTACGTTTAAAATGCGGTAATTGCTTTGGCGTATTGCGCTAAGCATGCCCTTTACGGGCTTTTCGAAATATGCTACATTTTGCATATCCTTTAAAATTTAAATGTATCGTACCATTAATTTAGGGCGTTCCCCGTACTATACCGTTTTTATTTAACTTTTTGTTTATAAAGTACGATATTTTACGGTTATTACAAACCGTTTACGGGTTTTTTTACGTTTTTTCCCGGTGGCCAGCCGGTTTAGCACGTTAAAATATTTTTTTGGGCCATTCCTTTGGCCTTTGTTATTTTTTTTTGTAATACCCCCGTCCTTTCCGGGTATTTACCCGTTAAAATTCGGTATTTTTTTTATCCTATAAATTCGCTTCCAATAAATTTGCTTTATACGTTTAAATAATTTTTTTCGTAATATCCTTTTTTGGGATTTACAAATTTTCCGATTTATTGTAACTTATTTATTTAACCAGGTATTTTCGTTTTTGCAAAGGCCTTTTGTATTTTAGCAAAGCTTTTACTTTAAAGCAATCCTTTTTTTTTTTAATTTTTGGTTTTTTATTTTTTGGTTTTTCGCCGGGCTTTTTTTTAAACGCCCGCAATAAATTTGCTGGAAATACGTTATATATCCGGTAATTTACCGGAAGCTTTAACCGAAACGCCAAACCGGCTAACCCAACCATTTTTAGGATTTAAAAAGGTTCCAACCATTTATCCAATAGCTTTTTTTAACGGCCTTTTTATTTTAATATTTACCGTATTTAGCAATACCCAATTGTTTACCCCAAAAAGCACCGGGGTTTTGCTTTTGTTATAATACTTTTTGTATATATTATTTGCTTTTTTTAGCAATTTTTTGGCTTGCTTTTTAATTGTTTCCAAAGCCTCCGCTTTAATTTTAACCGTTGCTAAAGGTTTTTTTTTAATTACCCGAAAGTTATAAAGCTTTTGTAAGTAAAACCTTATTAGCAAAAAACGCCGGGGTTTTTTGCAACCCCAAATGCACGTTTATATTGTGCACTTACGTTGCCAAATGCAATAACAACGCCCAATCGTTTTGCTTTTTTGCAGCAAAAGCACCGGAAGTAATGCTTTATTGCTTAATTCGTTCGTTCCGTTTGCCCCGTTGGTTAAAGGTGTATGCTATCGATAGCC